CCCCAAAACCCCAAAACCCCAAAACCCCATGAAGCAATAAAAGTTAAATTTTAAGGTAGCATTAATTTGGGTATGTATGAGTGTGTAATTATAATTGTTCATTCTTATTGACTTCAAATACTTATATAGTGAGTTCAATATTTTTCTAATTCACAATTTACGTAATATTCCTTTATTGTGGTGGGTTGTTCCCCCATTCATATGAGGGATAATCTATAAGTTATTGTTAATGTTACTCTGTGAAGAGTAGTTTATTGTGGTTAGCCTTCTGTTATTAGTACTATTATTCCCTTAATGCATATTACTAATAGGATTAGTGCTCTCCATAGTTCTTTGACTTAGCTGACCTCCTCCAGCTCCAGTATTACTTTGACTGCTATTCTATTGATAGTTTTAGGTATCTTGCTTGAAGTTAAAGTTAAAATTTTAATTTTGACTATTTACCCCCTTTTTATGAAAGTTGATCTATTGGGGTAAACTTTAATTAGTCTTTTTGGAGAAAACAGGGGAATTTTGGCAATTTATCTGTACTTGCATAACTCCACCACTTCTACTTTAGTATTGAATTTATTGCGATTTAGGTTACTATTCATTTTCAATATTGAATTTGCGCATTTTCTAACTCATAACAGCTTACTGATTATAATCTATTGGTTACATAATCAAAGCAGTGCTATTTTAAGTCTGTTTTGTATGCTCCAATTCATAGAAATTCTTTAGTTAAGAGCATAGTAGCGAGGCTTGTAAATTAACATTTTACTTTTAACTAGTGAGATGCTCATTTTTGTAAACTTTGATTTATCTAGGATGATTTTCGTTTCTTTAGGCATTTGGAGTGTTATGATTAGTGTTCAGATCTGAGGATACCGGATTATATTGCATGTTATTTATTGAGTAACTACGCTTTGAATTCTAGAATTGTTAGAACTACTTACTTAAGTTAATCTAAGATAACTGCCCAGGGATTAAAAAGTTCACATGACTACCAGCTTAATCAATGTTAAAAGTAGTAGAATTAGTAATGGTTTTTGGGGAATTGCCCTGACTATATACCGAATCTTGTTTTTAGACACTATGCACGCTTTATCTCGAAGGTTTATAAAACTTCGGCTCATAGGAGAAATTACTCTTATTTGAAGGATAAAAGGTCTTTTGAGACTCATCATTAGCCAGCAAATCGAAAGTCTTAGATAGAGCTATTGCAGTAGTGCCAATTCCATTTTACTAGGATTATTATTAAATACTATCAATTTTCTTCAGATTTTTACATCCGATACCGAGGTGAGTTTCATAAAAAATCGGAGTCTCGCTTTGAGGCTTTTGATTAGTATATTTCTTGGGAGTCTTTAGTTTCTTCTTTTTCATAAGATGATTTTGCTATGGACTCTCTTCAAGACACTTACTAACCTCTTGAATACAATTACTTCCAATTTTAGTATTCCCTTCATTTTTATTAGGAGTTGATGTTGCAGCAGTTGCTTTGTTGCTGATTTTTTCATCTTCAGTTTAAGCCTAATTATCCTTGATGACTTGGAATTTATGAGTATTGTTTTAGGCTTGATCTCTGCTTCTAGAGGGATTTATAGAATCTTTAGTTTTAGTCATGTCATTTTTAGAGTTTAGAGTAGATTTTATAATCGTACTATTAGTTACAAGATGTTTGCTTGACTTCGGGATTGCCGCCTATTTCAAATTCAAACCGGCTGACTTATTCTTATTGTAAAGTAAGTTTTATTTCAATACCTTTTCTCTTTTCTTTTCTTTGACAAATTAGGGTTTTATTTTCTTATGAGAATGCTAATCTTCATCAGTAATTATAACTCCTGTATCTAATCTACCGAGGGTATTGGTCTGAGTTGCTTGTTCATTTATTTCATTTCGATCATCTTAACTGATAAAAATAGGATGATTCTCATCATCACCAACTTTACTCTAACATGAATCTGTGGGTGGACGAATTGAATTATAAGAGCAGTTTTGACCTACGCTCCTGATATCGTCTTACTGCCCAATATTTTTATTTTGTTATGCTAATCTTTATTTATCATTATTGATATCTAATTTTTTATCTATTGGATTGATTTTTGCTGTTATTTGTCTGGGTGATATGCACTTTTAGAGATTTATCCTATTATTACTGTTGATTTTGGTTTATTATCCACCGACACAGCTTCTTCCAGTTTATGCAATCAACTCTGAATCTTTCATAGAATCTATGTGCGTGCTGATCTCATCATCGGCTAAGTCAACTAGCAGTGTCGCTGCTCCAAGTATTCCCTAGCCCCCTCCAATCTTGTTATTTGTCTTTTTATCTGAGCCAAAATTTAAGTATCTGGGTTGAACAATCACAGACTGACGTTTGGGAGTTGTTGAACTATTTTTCTAAGCCATCATCATCATTATAGAATATCCATATGATCCATTGGGTGTTTTACCATCGCTTTTAAACACATTTATATGGCTCTTACCCATTGGTCAAGAATCACTATTTTTTGCAAGTATGTTGCCAGCAGTAGTCTTGGGAGAGACCTGAATTTGCTAGTTCTTTTATGGACTCATAGAGAGTTTTTTCTTTTCATGTGCCTTTAATTTAATCAGTCTTAACTTGTCGCAAGGCGCGTGCTTGCTTCTTGAGCTGTTGAAGTTTTCCTTTGGAGATATATTTTGAAGGATACTTTGCTTAGGAGAAGACTCAATTTAATTGGAGGGCTGAAGCTTCTCAAAGTGCTCAACAATCCCAGCTAACAATTTAGAGATCATTTTTAATTAATTTGGAATTTTTCTTATTCTAATTGAATAATACTTTCGATTAATTTTTATGGCCTGAATCAATGCTTGTGGGGTTTTGGGGTTTTGGGGTTTTGGGG